GCCGTCCATTGACATTCATTGAAATTTCACTCTGCAAAGCTCAAATTTGAAGTGCAATTTCTAAACTGCGACTGTGCCTTCAATTTTAATACTTCAGAGACATACTATGCATCAAAATGTAGGTCTGGGTCTTGTGATTCTCACAATATAAAGCTCTTCACTGTAGGAGTTATAGTTTTTTAAGATACGACCGTTTGAAGATGGCAACCACCAAAATACTCTGACCTGTGTCAGGCTGCAGCAGCAAGTGATGTCATAGACAGGGCCTTTTGAACACCTGCTAATGTTTTATAAATGTATGGTTTAATGTAACTGGGCAACAACGTTGCAATTAAATGTGTTATATAAATGATAACAGTTACGTCGCCCACTCCAGTTGTAGACTACTGGTGGAGGCAAGAACACTTCACACAATTTCCCCAGAAATTGTAGCTTTTCTAGTATATATATACTAATTCTAAGTATAGATGTATGCATTATTTTTATATAATTATGTGATTTTTATTAATTAGAATTTGAGGGACCTGCCTGCCAATCCAGGCAGAAAGTCCAGAGAAGCCCTATATTAGATCCTGCAACTTTCCAAAACCCCATAAAACGTGTACATGGGTGGTACTGTTGCACTCGTGAGACATCGCTGACCAGAAATATGAGTGTTATAAAACAGCAAAACGCATAATGACGATGATATCATAGTGAACGTTTCGTTTTTTTGTGAAAAATTAAAAACAACAAGCCAGAGAGGGACCCATAGCCTCCCCAGTCGCAGAGACTGTCTATCCCAAATGGCCCATATGCGGGATCGGCTGATCCAGGACTGGTACTGGTACTACCGTAAGGGGCATTGGCGGACATTCCAGACCCAAGGGAAAAAAACCTACATTGTTATAACTTGTTTATTTAGACATACTACCACCTTACAACTAACAGCCTAATGCCTGAGGCCACATCTATACACTAGGCGACAGGCCTTCCGCCATTAGTATTCACTGCAGTCATTAACAGTTCGGTAATAGCTTGCAACCCAACATTACAATCATATATGCATATCTACCCTAATAACACGTTATTAACTGCATAAAAAAGCTTGATCAAAACGATAAACATGTATTTTAGCAGTTGCAGCATTGTTATGCTTAATGTACCTGCCTTACTTAAAGCGGCACTGTCATGCCGAACTTACCTTTCCTCAATCTCTTCCTCTTCTCCCCCTCTCTCAGGATCTGTTATTCTTTTCTTCCTATCTTCTTTAGTTTTCTTTAAAATCATAAGACAAAGTAGGGACTCTTTGCCTTATGGAGGATTCCTCCGCTTGACCAGCTCTGACCAGCGGAGGAGCAAAGTGTGCTTCATTTCCGCTGGTCAGAGCAATTTTCCCATGATCCTTACCTTTCCTCTGTGTTCCCAAGATGCTTCCTGTCACTTTACACGAAACTGCCGAATTGCGTTCTAACTGAATGAGAACAGTATGTTCGTTTCTTTTAGAACTCAATTCGGCATTTTGTTCGGATCGCAGTTTCATTTGAATGAATGAAACTACGATCCTATTCATTGCCGCAGCTGCATCTTGCAGCCGCTTAGTAGATAACTCCCTAATTCCCACGGTATCAGGGAGCTATCTACTAAAAGGCTGAAAGACCTAAATTGGTCTTTCAGCCAACTTTACTAATACTAAGTAAAGATTACTTAGTATTAGTAAATTAAATGTCCCTACTTGCTATACCGCGAGTAGGGGCTTGTGTAGTAAGCAGTGAGCAGCTTATAGCTGCTCACTGTAAAAAAAAACAAAAAACAAAAAAAAAACTAATAAACCCCCCCATGCCCATGGGGGCCCTAAATAAAGATGGGGGGGACCTACTGTCCCCCCCTGGCCCCCACCCCTGAGCAGTGGGTGGGGGCCCTAAATAAAGATATGGGGGGGAATTTCTGTCCCCCCCCGGCCCCCACCCCTGCGCGGTGGGTGGGGGCCCTAATAAAACAATAAGGGGGGGGACCTACTGTCCTCCCCCCCTGGCCCCCACCCCTGAGCGGTGGGTGGGGGCCCTAAATGAAACACCCCCCCCCTCCAATCAAGGTGACTAGGGGTCCCAAGCCCTAGTCACCACCCTCCCCACCCAAAAAAACCTATCCCCTACCTACCCTACAAATAGTGAGGGGGGGAATAAAATAACTAACCTGTAAAAAAAAAAAAATTAAACTTAACATTTGACGTCTTCTTTTTTCTAAAATCTTCTTTCTTCAGCCCCCAAAAAGGCCAAATAAAAATCCATTACACCCGTCGCACTTTAAAAAAAAAAAAAAAACAAGCGCAAAAAAAAATTTAATCCAAGTTAGCCCTTCGAGGGCACGCCGCATACTGAGCTCTGCAGGGCGGGTCAAGGCTTATAAAGCCTTGCCCCGCCCTGCAAATAGGCTTAGAACACTCTGATTGGTGGGTTTAAACCCGTCAGACCTACTCTGATCATTTTACACAGCGTGGGGAAAGTTCTTTTAATCTCCCTTGTGCTATTATGGGGGTCATATTGACCCCCATAGAGTGAGAGGGGGTACTGGGGGGCTTATGAAGTGGTGGGAGCACTGCTCCCTGCCGCTTCAATAGTTACATATTACAAAGAGGGAGCTGCATGCCGGTAGCTCCCTCCTTGTAATAAACTAAACGAACAAACATACACTGATACATTGTGTTTGTTTGTTTGTTCGGCTGATATACCTATTCACTCATTCGTCTGTCTGATGAATGAATGAATGAATAGCTGAAATTCCCGTTCGCATGTCCAGGTGTTTCACTGGGCATGTGCGGGAATCTCAGTGTCTGCCTAGTGTGGGCAGATGACGTGTCCCTGAGGGACTTCACCTACCCACACAAAGATGGCGGCGCCCTGAATCAAGATCGGGCCAGAAAATAAGGATTAAAAAATAGGTCATGTGGGGGGCTTAGGGGCATTTGGGGGTGACTAGTGGGTCTATTGGATGTAGTGGAGGCGGGAGAGGGGTTAAAAAAAAAACGGGATTCGGCATGACAGTGCCGCTTTAAGGTTTGATCCTTGGACTTTGCCAGCTGCTGGGTGTTCACTGCTTGCTAAAACAAGTAGAGAATTGAAAACAGGAACAGTTACTGGTTGAGATTTAACTGGAACGGAACTTCTCATCAAGGCTTGGTCAAGAGTGGAATAAATCCTGACTGAAAAGAAGCAACAGAGGCACGCAAAGTTTAGAGGCAGATATAGTCTGATATAGTCATTACACAGTGCATGGTGATTTCTAACATCCTTGGATCCGGCATATGTGTTGTCAAAACACTATGCACCATACATACAAACTACACATTTCAGTGATGTTTCTTGAGGGGGATACTGCCAGTGCTATGGACTGTTAGGTCCAGACACCTAAGCAGAGATATGCTTATACAGACAGACATATTGTAGAACCGTTCATAGATACATTTTCTGAAGGAATTGTTTTTGTATTTATTGGTATAGTGCTATTTATCTATATTACACATTCATTTGGTTGAAGTTGATTGAGAAGTTGTAATGAGATGGGAGGTTATAGTTCATGGCATAAAAGTAATTAATTATGCAGGATTTGCCACTAATGCCTCTGAACTTTCAAACCTAATAACCTTTAAACAAAATTGTTGATTGAAAAACAAAAGGTGCAAGCTATTGGTGGTTTTCATAAATCTGATAATGGCAAAATCTGTGTAGCTTATGGGTCCACTATAAGCGCAGTCTTGCTTTGAACAGAAGTTTACTTTTATATTTACCGTACACCCAGGGGAAACATGTTGACTAAAACTTCCAATTTTGTTTCACTTCCTATTCTACTGCATGTATTTCCCAGGCATGTAAACTTCACAAACAGAATAAAAATGGGATTTATTAAGTAGTGCATTTCTTAGGTCTAGTTTTTAGTTGTTATGAATGTATACATTTTTATACTTAGCATTTCTTTAAAAAGTATATTTTCTGTACAAATCATTTAATATTCATTCTCCTAGTAATCTAAAAGTGATAAAAACCCTCTATTCTTTGATGTGCATTTGGAGCCTCTATTTAAAAAAGCAAAATGTTAGAGAAGGAATTCAGAGACTTTGTATACACTCTTTATTTTGAATGTAGAAATCTATAGGTTAAAGAATAAAAAGAGGATTATGATTTCCAATATCCCCTTGATTGCCGATTTCCCTTCAATGTATTACATACCACTTATTAAGAGCAGTGGCGACTATATTTCTTTTTAATCTTGTGACTGCCAGTAATGATGGACATGAACTTGCAAAGTGCAGTTGACAACTCAAATATATATTTAATTCAGAGCAATATTATTAGTGGAACTTAAACGTTTGGTTAATATTTGCTTTTCGGTGCAGCAATTAAAAGTTGTCTGCATTTTCTGTGGGAAGATAATGAACAATATTGAAATAAATTCAATACTTGAAATTAATCATTGACTTTTCTAGCATAATAACTTAAGCAATTTGTTATTATAGATCCGCCATGACTGGAATTATTGCCGTGTCTTGCACAAATTCTGATCTTTTTTGTATGCAAGGGTATAAAGCAGCAAGGCATAATAGCTGCACAATACTAACATCAACACAACATCAGTGTCATGTTTTATGCAAAATTCCAAGTCACAGCCCCCTCTGCTCATAGTGCAATTATAATCAACTTAAAGAGGAAGCTCTATTGTGTATACTTTTATTAAAGGGACACTATAGTCACCAATGCAACTACATGTATTCCTGACTCTATAGTGTTAACCATCTAGCCCCCATGGGCCCCTCATGCCTCCATAAATATAGTAAAAATCTTACTGTATTCAAGCCAGAATTATGCCTCCATCAACTCCGAAGTCCCTCTGGTTCACTGTGAGTGACTGCAACTGGAGGTGTTCCTAGCTTTCAATGTAAACACTGTATTTTCTGAGAAAATACAGTGTTTACATGAGAAAAGCTGCAGGAAGCTATAGTTCTCACCTGAACAACCTCATTAAGCTGAAGTTGTTCAGGTGACTATAGTGTCCCTTTAATATGTGTATCATTTTACTGCTTAAAGGGACACCAAAGTCACCCAGACCAATTCATCTTAGTGAAGTAGGAAGAGTGCAGTGTCCCTGTCCTTTCTTTAGAAACTGCAATGTTTACATTGTTGGATTGAGTTCAACTGTAGTGGCTGTCAGTATGAATAAAACTCGGTCTTGTGACTCAGAAGCCCCCATAGCAAGCATTGATTTAATTCTTCCCTATGGTGAAGTTTGAATGTGTGTGCAACACTCACTGTGCATGCGCATTAGGTTACCTGGGGCTCCTTGATGAGAAGCACTGCATCGGACATTGGCGGAGGAGGCCACACCTTCTCTGTGATGTCATGGGAGGTGGAGAGGTAAGCAGCACTGTGCGAGCATTGGTGCTGGGAAAAGGTAATTTTTTTTTGGGAGGGGGGTTTGTTCACATGGGGGGGCACAACATTAAAACAAATAGGGACAGGGACTTTACTGTGTCTTTAGGAATACAGATATTGTATTCCTTTAATAAGTTGCTGGCAATACTATCTTGTGTTCCTTCATATTACAAATAGTACAGCTTTATATGCAGGACTCTTTTAACTGAAATGTACATGCTTTTATTTGTGTGTAAATCTTTAATTTTACCTTAGTCTGTTAGACTAGCTAAAAGGTCCTAATTGATAATACTTTTTTATGCTTGCTTGGGTATCTGTGCATTGCAACAGGTGCATGTACAGCCACCGCACAACTGGTTTCAAGATCATTTACATGGTATGCTCTGATTATGCCAGATATCCAACCACAAAATATTTATTTATTTTATTTATAAAATATTTTACCAGGAAAGATACATTGAGATTTCTCTCGTTTTCAAGTATGTCCTGGGTCCACAAAACATTGCATTGATACAATAGGTTACAATAAAATATAAAAACAATATTAATACACAATATATAAAACATTTAAAAGAGAACAGGTAGGAAATATATATCAACCATGACACGTGCATTCTGTTTTGAGGTATGAAGAGAGGGATCACTTAAAGGGCTTTAGGCTTGGGAAAGATTTTAAAGTGTGCGGGAGGTCGTTCCATAATTGCGGTGCTCTGTAGGAAAAGGAGGATCGGACTGCTTTCTTTTTGTTTTGAGGTAGACTTCATAAAGTACTGGTACTGGATTGGAGGTTATAGGAGGTGGGAACAGCCAAGGAGAACATTCTGCTAAGGTAGGGCAGGAGCTTCCCAGAAAAGCTCTTAAACACAAGGCTGGAAAGATGAAGGGTGCGTCTGGATTCCAGCGACAACCAGTTTAGTTCTACAATGTAAATTAAGATATTGTTGACAGTGTCAATGTGCATAAAAAAATAAAAAAGATATAAAATGACATAAGGCAATAAAATGTAAGTCTTGGATGTATCCAGTCTAGGTTTATAACTTTGGAACTAATTCAAAACAAATTGTTTGTGTGTGTTCTTCAAACCTGTACTCTGGACCCAACATCGAATGGAATTTAATGGCATGTCTTTACCATTATCTCTTTATCATTAGAACAGGTGAATTGCTCTGTCATTTTCATTCCAACATCAGCAGGTACAGCT